TGCATTTTAAAAAAACGTCTCGAAAGCTCGAAAGTCACGTTTCAGTACAAAACTTTTGTAGTGTATATTTGCGCTCTAGCTCTAACATAAAAATTAAAAGTGATCATTCCCTTGGAATCGTTAAATTCTTGCTGTTGAGATATAATATGCAGTCGAAATAATCTGGACTTTACGCTGAAATGTACAAGGTACATTGTACATGCTAGTGATATTCGCGGCAGCTAAAGTATTAAAGTAAATGGTTTGAACCCGGGAGTATCGTTACATATTTTTAGGTGTTGATCGTCCAGGTTAGTATAGTCCTGAGAAGGACTGTTTTTATTTTTGTTGGCTGACATTATGACAACCTTAGCGGTAGTCATCTTCAGAATCAAATTTTGAGAGTCATTTGACTCTGAAGATGACTACCGCTAAGGTTGTAGAAACGTCAGTCAACAACAACAAAAACAGTCCTTCTCAGGACTATACCAACCTGGACGATCTACATTTACAAACAGTTAAGATATTGCCGTGCATGAAAGGCTGTGAATTCCTTCGCTACTTGATAAACACAGTAGCAGGTTTAATTGCTTTGCCTTTCGATGCATATAAAGCAGGTCGAAAAACTACACCTTTAAAGGTGCTCGTATTTTGTCGCAACAAGTTAGGAACGCTTGGAAGTGCTTCGGAGTCGGCTTTTCATGGTGACCGCCAAATTAGATGTTTGTTTTTCGCGCAGTTTGGGGTGCAAGATACAAGATGCATGTTGTTCAAATAAATTAGCCCAACACAGATACGTGAGGGGGATTGCTCTAACTTATGCTTGTATTGGATCTTAAATATTGATGACTTTATTGTTGTTACCATAGATACACGACAGAAGAAGACAATCGGACGTAGAACTTCCGATAGTTTACGCACCTTTAATTTGTCATTATTTATTTTGCTTTAAAAATGTACATGAGCAGGAACGTGCACGAACTTGTTACATAATCCTCAGTTGTTATAAATAAAAAAAATTATACTGGACATTCAAATTCCAGCATGGAGACAACTGTTCGAGAACAGTATAGCACTTCCTCACAGCGCAAAATACATGATTAGAATCGCTTTTGTTGAACCCCAATATCACAAGCAAAATGGTTTGAACATGACTATATTTTCTAGATAGCAGTAAGTCTCTTTCTCATGATTCAGTAAAGATGATCTTTTTTTGACTAGTGTTTTCAGCCACACTAAACTAAACTAACTTAACGCTCAGAATTTATCAGCTAAAATCTTTTATCGGTCCTATGCTAACACAGAAGAAAACCTTCAAATTGAATGATAATTTTACATTCAAAAGTTTGCATGAGGATCGATTATTTCAAACTGTTCTCATTAGAAAACAAAGATAAATCACACTTGAAAATTTGCATGAATGTGAATAAATTTACACTTGAAGTCTTAGTGCCATTTTGCAGCAAACACCATGGACTTCTTGATTCTAAAAAGGAAGTACAAGGACTAAGGACAAAGTGTGACGATAAAGGAAGAAACAGCTCTTCAAATAAATTATTAAAACAGGATGGAGAAGGAATGAAATGTAGAATAAGCGGAATATAACCCACGCACAAGAAACCGGTTTTCGATGCAACACCTGGAATTGCTCGACTATTCAAATGACGTTTTGGCGAGATTGCATTTCAAATCAATTTAAAGACTCAGATTACGATCATGGCAATAGAACTTTTGAGAAAAAAAGCGAGTAAACATGAAAAAGGTCTTCCCATACGGTAATGTACAATTACTTTCTTCTCAAAATCTGTAAAAAATCACTAAATTGTTTAGCTATATGCGTAAATCCGTGATTACGTAATTGAATTGAAAATATTTTTTAACTTTATTGAAAAATGTTATGTTGGTGCCATCATTGTTTTTGATTTATTAAAACGCGGTTAATTGTTCATAAAATGTTGTAGAAAAAATTGACAGGACGCTGAAAAAAAGCCTGAAAATTATGAACTGTTTAAAGGATGAATTCCTAAACATCTGAATGAAAAGCAAGGCAATCCTCGTTTTTGATTTCACTCGTTGATAGCAAAATTTCGTGCCCTGTAGCACAATTCTACATTTAGATTGTAGACTATAGTTGTTTATAACTATTCTAGAAAATTAATCGCAAAATTCATAATGACAGCATTCTGATTAAAATCATTTAGCTAAAGGCTTCAAAGCAGACAGCTGTTACAATTTCTGAAGCAGAAGATATCTTCCAAAAAAACCGCATGTTTAGAGAAATCATTCGAAGCGTATGCCAGCATCTTATACGAAAATTTTGATATTTTCGAATTTCTCGCCAAAACAAGTGTCTTTTTATTATCAAAAAATCGTTTCATCTATGATGCTATCAACTAACAAATCGCAACTTTTCATTTTGGACATTGTTCCAGAAACTTCGCTATATTAAATATACTCATACTATTTTCGCATAATGCACAACGAAGAAAGAGAACATAGAAAGGACTCGTTCATCGTCAAAAAAAGACGCATTTGCGTTTGAAAAAAAGTCAATAATAAACATAAGCAGGCGTTTTAAAAGTCCGCTTATTTCCTTTTACATTATCCCCTTTTTCATTGCTTTCGTGAAGAGTTTCGGGTTTTAAAATTTTATCAACGTCGATGACACTTGGTTCATGATTCTTCTGTTTCATCGTCTTTCTGGAGGTGATTGTCCGGAATACAACACGGCGAGCTGCTGTGTTCAGACGCTTGTTAACCGAAAGATCATTCCAAAATTGACAAGCAGAAAGCGGAGCACTCAATGCGTCAAAAATTTCATTTCTTTTAGTCAGCTTGCTGGAGAATGACTTCATATTTGTATTGCGCAAAGCTTCGGGACAAACTGGTCGCTTTTCTCGAACAAGATCGAGTTGATAATAATATTCAGATAGCATGCTTGCATATTTTTGCACTTCTATCTTCGAACCTAGTAACTTCTGGGATAAAAATAAATAGAATCATTGGAATGCACTATCCGTTCTATTCACACCAAGCTATGTTATTCATACTTACATCAAGTAATACGATATATGCCCAATCAGCCCACAAGACCATATAAGGCGTTACAAATTCTATTTCCAACGGCTTTTCAGCGATTTCTACGACTAGGGTTACCCCTCTATATCCACTTGCCGCATATTTACCTCCTCGAGGGCAAACACCAAAGCACTTTACAATGGCTACCCCAAAACGGGAACTATTAATGAAACTTTCTTTTGCTTCTACAACCTATAAAGATATTGATGTCCAGTAGGTCTAAGACTGTACAATATACGTTAATAAGGGATTTGCGTTCGGTTAAAGTGAATGGGCGCGTGTAAGTTACAGCCCGTACAAAAAAAGTTGCAAGCGCTTAACATCTGTAGGGAATAATTTTACCGCAATCCGCAATTCAAAAAAAATGAGTAGAAAATGATGCCTGACTTTGGTTTATTCTTACTTCTGAACTATATGATGTTTAAAGTTTTACATAGCAAGCAGGGTTTTCTTTAAGCATACCTTACACGTGTTACTAATTATATAAAAAAAGAAAATAAATATAAACTTTTCAAAACAGTTGCCATGACATACCATTTTGAAGATAAATTTTCATTTGTTTTATCTATAGCTAGCTACGCGTCTCTGGCGAAACTATAATATGTTGCATATACCACAAATAAGAAAATAGATGTTTCATTTATCATATACACCAAACACATCGGTTTTGATCTCATATTTTAAAATATGAAAGTTATCAGAATGAAATGAAATTTTCTGATCGATAAAGCTCATCATTTTCTTTCGTGAATCCTTCGTGCAATTAAACTTTGCACATGCAGTTTAGACACATTCGTACGCCTCGCGCATTTGTTCCTGGCCTTGCACTTGTTAGCAAAAATGAAAACGTATAAAAGCTGCAACAGTTTATATTTAAAACCTTCGTTAAACTATATAAACGACTGAAAAAACCGAAAAAAGGCTAAGATTCCAGAAGAAGGAAGAATCCTATTATTGTTTTTTTTTCTATACACTAACTTTCAGCCACAACCGAAAAATTTGAAAGGCCCACTATGCAAAAAGGCCTCCACTAGGCTAATAATAACACAGAAAATCTATTTTGATCAAAGCCTTGAAAGGAGCGGATTCCGTACCGTTATTGAGGCAGGGATACGTGACTGTCCACAATAAAGAGTTTAGGACAACGGTAGCTATCAATGAAAATCTTATCAATTGCATTTGCATTCCCAAAATTGACCTAAATGCAAAGTTCCACTGAATTACAAATCAATTAGTAAGGTAGTAGCTACAAAACCGAAAAGAAATAAAAACAACGGGTTTTGGATGTTTGGATTTAAAATATTATCAATGAAAAAGAAAATTTAAGCGAGATGCGATTCCTGCGAAATTTGGAACCTAATCATGAAACTTGTTTTTTGAAGATTCAAGAATATTGATCTAATTTATTTAAGATATTGATAATTTCAAGCAAATAATGACCGACGAGACAAAAATATTTGGGTTCGTAATCATGCTTTTTAAAAAAACGTCTCGAAAGTCACGTTTCAGTACAAAACTTTGTAGTGTATATTTGCGCTCTAGCTCTAACATAAAAATTAAAAGTGATCATTCCCTTGGAATCGTTAAATTCTTGCTGTTGAGATATAATATGCAGTCGAAATAATCTGGACTTTACGCTGAAATGTACAAGGTACATTGTACATGCTAGTGATATTCGCGGCAGTTAAAGTATTAAAGTAAATGGTTTGAACCCGGGAGTATCGTTACATATTTTTAGGTGTTGATCGTCCAGGTTAGTATAGTCCTGAGAAGGACTGTTTTTATTGTTGTTGGCTGACATTTCGACAACCTTAGCGGTAGTCATCTTCAGAATCAAATTTTGAGAGTCATTTGACTCTGAAGATGACTACCGCTAAGGTTGTCGAAACGTCAGTCAACAACAACAAAAACAGTCCTTCTCAGGACTATACCAACCTGGACGATCTACATTTACAAACAGTTAAAATATTGCCGTGCATGAAAGGCTGTGAATTCCTTCGCTACTTGATAAACACAGTAGCAGGTTTAATTGCTTTGCTTTTCGATGCATATGAAGCAGGTCGAAAAACTACACCTTTAAAGGTGCTTGTATTTTGTCGCAACAAGTTAGGAACGCTTGGATGTGCTTCGGAGTCGGCTTTTCATGGTGACCGCCAAATTAGATGTTTGTTTTTCGCGCAGTTTGGGGTGCAAGATACAAGATGCATGCTGTTCAAATAAATTAGCCCAACACAGATACGTGAGGGGGATAGCTCTAACTTATGCTTGTATTGGATCTTAAACATTGATGACTTTATTGTTGTTACCATAGATACACGACAGAAGAAGACAATCGGACGTAGAACTTCCGATAGTTTACGCACCTTTAATTTGTTATTATTTATTTTGCTTTAAAAATGTGCATGAGCAGAAACGTGCACTAACTTGTTACATAATCCTCAGTTGTTATAAATAAAAAAAATTATACTGGACATTCAAATTCCAGCATGGAGACAACTGTTCGAGAACAGTATAGCACTTCCTCACAGCGCAAAATACATGATTAGAATCTCTTATGTTGAACCCGATATCACGAGCAAAACGGTTTGAACATGACTATATTTTCTAGATAGCAGTAAGTCTCTTTCTCATGATTCAGTAAAGATGATCTCTCGTTGACTAGTGTTTTCAGCCACGCTAAACTAAACCAACTTAACGCTCAGAATTTATCAGCTAAAATCATTTATCGGTCCTATGCTAACACAGAAGAAAACCTTCAAATTGAATGATAATTTTACATTCAAAAGTTTGCATGAGGATCGATTATTTCAAACTGTTCTCATTAGAAAACAAAGATAAATTACACTTGAAAATTTGCATGAATGTGAATAAATTTACACTTGAAGTCTTAGTGCCATCTTGCAGCAAACATCATGGACTTCTTGATTCTAAAAAGGAAGTACAAGGACTAAGGATAAAGATTGACGATAAAGGACTAAGGACAAGGACTAAGGACAAGGACAAGGACAAGGACAAGGACAAAGAGTGACGATAAAGGAAGAAGTAGCTCTTTAAATAAATTATTAAAACAGGATGGAGAAGAATGAAATGCAGAATAAGCGGAAAATAACCCACGCACAAGAAACCGGTTTTCGATGCAACACCTGGAATTGCTCGACTATTCAAATGACGTTTTGGCGAGATTGCTTTCCAAATCAATTTAAAGACTCAGATTACGATCTTGGCAATAGAACTTTTGAGAAAAAAAGCGAGTAAACATGAAAAAGGTCTTCCCACACGGTAATGTACAATTATTTTCTTCTTAAAATCTGTAAAAAATCACTAAATTGTTTAGCTATATGCGTAAATCCGTGATTACGTAATTGACATGAAAATTTTCTCGTGTAATGCTTATATTTTAACTCTATTGAAAAATGTTATGTTGGCGCCATCATTGTTTTTGATTTATTAAAACGCGGTTAATTGTTCATAAAATGTTGTAGAAAAAATTGACGGGACGCTGAAAAAAAGGCTGGAAATTATGAACTGTTTAAAGGATGAATTCGTAAACATCTGAATGAAAAGCAAGGCAATCCTCGTTTTTTGACTTCACTCGTTGATAGCAAAATTTCGTGCCTAGTAGCACAATTCTATATTTAGATTGTAGACTATAGTTGTTTATAACTATTCTAGAAAATTAATCGCAAAATTCATAATGACAGTATTCTGATTAAAGTCATTTAGCTAAAGGCTTCAAAGCAGACAGCTGTTACAATTTCTGAAGCAGAAGAGATCTTCCGAAAAAAAAACGCATGTTTAGAGAAATCATTCGAAGCGTATGCCAGCATCTTATACGAAATTTTTGATATTTTCGAATTTCTCGCCAAAACAAGTGTCTTTTTATTATCAAAAAATTGCTTCATCTATGATGCTATCAACAAACATTGTTCCAGAAACTTCGCTATATTAAATATACTCATACTATTTTCGCGTAATGCACAACGAAGAAAGAGAACATAGAAAGGACTCGTTCATCGTCAAAAAAGACGCATTTGCGTTTGAAAAAAAAGTCAATAATAAAAATAAGCAGGCGATTTAAAAGTCCGCTTATTTCCCTTTACATTTTCCCCTTTTTCATTGCTTTCGTGAACAGTTTCGGGTTTTAAAATTTTATCAACGTCGATAACACTTGGTTCACGATTCTTCTGTTTCATCGTCTTTCTGGAGGTGACTGCACGGAATACAACACGGCGAGCTGCTGTGTTCAGACGCTTGTTAACCGAAAGGTCATTCCAAAATTGACAAGCAGAAAGCGGAGCACCCAATGCGTCGAAAATTTCATTTCTTTAGTCAGCTTGCTGGAGAATGACTTCATATTTGCATTGCGCAAAGCTTCGGGACAAACTGGTCGCTTTTCTCGAACAAGATCGAGTTGATAATAATATTCAGATAGCATGCTTGCATATTTTTGCACTTCTATCTTCGAACCTAGTAACTTCTGGGATAAAAAATAAAATAGAAACATTGGGATGCACTATCCGTTCTATTCACACCAAGCCATGTCATTCATACTTACATCAAGTAATACGATATATGCCCAATCAGCCCACAAGACCATATAAGGCGTTACAAATTGTATTTCCAACGGCTTTTCAGCGATTTCTGCGACTAGGGTTATCCCTCTATATCCACTCGCCGCATATTTACATCCTCGAGGGCAAACAACAAAGCACTTTACAATGGCTACCCCAAAACGGGAACTATTAATGAAACTTTCTTTTGCTTCTACAACCTATAAAGATATTGATGTCCAGTAGGTCTAAGACTGTACAACATACGTTAATAAGGGATTTGCGTTCGGTTAAAGTGAATGGGCGCGTGTAAGTTACAGCCCGTACAAAAAAAGTTGCAAGCGCTTAACATCTGTAGGGAATAATTTTACCGCAATTCAACAAAAATGAGTAGAAAATGATGGCTGACTTTGGTTTATTCTTACTTCTGAACTATATGATGCTTAAAGTTTTACATAGAAAGCAGGGTTTTCTTTAAGCATACCTTAAACGTGTTACTAATTATAAAAAAAAAAGAAAATAAAAATAAACTTTTCAAAACAGTTGCCATGACATGCCACTTTGAAGATAAATTTTCATTTGTTTTTACTATAGCTAGCTACGCGTCTCTGGCGAAACTATAATATGTTGCATATACTACAAATAAGAAAATAGATATTTCATTTATCATATACACCAAACACATCGGTTCTGGTCTCATATTTTAAGATATGAAAGTTATCAGAATGAAATGAAATTTTCTGATCGATAAAGATCATCATTTTCTTTCGTGAATCCTTCGTGCAATTAAACTTTGCACATGCAGTTTAGACACATTCGTACGCCTCGCGCATTTGTTTCCTGGCCTTGCACTTGTTAGCAAAAATGAAAACGTATAAAAGCTACAACAGTTTATACTTAAAACCTTCGTTAAACTATATAAACGACTGAAAACACCGAAACAGGGCTAAGATTCCAGAAGAAGGAAGAATCCTATTATTGTTTTTTTTTCTATACACTAACTTTCAGCCACAACCGAAAAATTTGAAAGGCCCACTATGCAAAAAGGCATACACTAGGCTAATAATAACACAGAAAATCTATTTTGATCAAAGCCTTGAAAGGAGCGGATTCCGTACCGTTATTGAGGCAGGGATACGTGACTGTCCACAATAAAGAGTTTAGGAGAACGGTAGCTATCAATGAAAATCTTATCAATTGCATTTGCATTCCCAATAATTGACCTAAATGCAAAGTTCCACTGAATTACAAATCAATTAGTAAGGTAGTAGCTACAAAACCGAAAAGAAATAAAAACAACGGGTTTTGGATGTTTGGATTTAAAATATTATCAATGAAAAAGAAAATTTAAGCGAGATGCGATTCCTGCGAAATTTGGAACCTAATCATGAAACTTGTTTTTTGAAGATTCAAGAATATTGATCTAATTTATTTAAGATATTGATAATTTCAAGCAAATAATGACCGACGAGACAAAAATATTTGGGTTCGTAATCATGCTTTTTAAAAAAACGTCTCGAAAGTCACGTTTCAGTACAAAACTTTGTAGTGTATATTTGCGCTCTAGCTCTAACATAAAAATTAAAAGTGATCATTCCCTTGGAATCATTAAATTCTTGGTGTTTAGATAAAATATGTAGTCGAAATAATCTGCACTTTACGCTGAAATGTACAAGGTACATTGTACATGCTAGTGAAATTTCGCGGGAGTTAAAGTATAAAAGTAAATGGTTTGAACCCGGGAGTATCGTTACATGTTTGTAAATGTAGATCGTCCAGGTTGGTATAGTCCTGAGAAGGACTGTTTTTATTGTTGTTGACTGACATTTCGACAACCTTAGCGGTAGTCATCTTCAGAGTCAACTTTTAAGAGTCATTTGCCTCTGAAGATGACTACCGCTAAGGTTGTCGAAACGTCAGTCAACAACAACAAAAACAGTCCTTCTCAGGACTATACCAACCTGGACGATCTACATTTACAAACAGTTAAAATATTGCCGTGCATGAAAGGCTGTGAATTCCTTCGCTACTTGATAAACACAGTTGCAGGTTTAATTGCTTTGCCTTTCGATGCATATGAAGCAGGTCGAAAAACTACACCTTTAAAGGTGCTCGTATTTTGTCGCAACAAGTTAGGAACGCTTGGAAGTGCTTCGGAGTCGGCTTTTCATGGTGACCGCCAAAGTAGATGTTTGTTTTTCGCGCAGTTTGGGGTGCAAGATACAAGATGCATGCTGTTCAAATAAATTAGCCCAACACAGATACGTGAGGGGGATAGCTCTAACTTATGCTTGTATTGGATCTTAAACATTGATGACTTTATTGTTGTTACCATAGATACACGACAGAAGAAGACAATCGGACGTAGAACTTCCGATAGTTTACGCACCTTTAATTTGTCATTATTTATTTTGCTTTAAAAATGTGCATGAGCAGAAACGTGCACTAACTTGTTACATAATCCTCAGTTGTTATAAATAAAAAAAAAATTATACTTGACATTCAAATTACAGCATGGAGACAACTGTTCGAGAACAGTATAGCACTTCCTCACAGCGCAAAATACATGGTTAGAATCTCTTATGTTGAACCCGATATCACAAGCAAAACGGTTTGAACATGACTATATTTTCTAGATAGCAGTAAGTCTCTTTCTCATGATTCAGTAAAGATGATCTCTCGTTGACTAGTGTTTTCAGCCACACTAAACTAAACCAACTTAACGCTCAGAATTTATCAGCCAAAATCATTTATCGGTCCTATGCTAACACAGAAGAAAACCTTCAAATTCAATGATAATTTTACATTCAAAAGTTTGCATGAGGATCGATTATTTCAAACTGTTCTCATTAGAAAACAAAGATAAATTACACTTGAAAATTTGCATGAATGTGAATAAATTTACACTTGAAGTCTTAGTGCCATTTTGCAGCAAACATCATGGACTTGTTGATTCTAAAAAGGAAGTACACGGACTAAGGATAAAGATTGACTTAAAGAAAGGAAGAAACAGCTCTTCAAATAAATTATTAAAACAGGATGGAGAAGGAATGAAATGTAGAATAAGCGGAAAATAACCCACGCACAAGAAACCGGTTTTCGATGCAACACCTGGAATTGCTCGACTATTCAAATGACGTTTTGGCGAGATTGCTTTTCAAATCAATTTAAAGACTCAGATTACGATCTTGGCAATAGAACTTTTGAGAAAAAAAGCGAGTAAACATGAAAAAGGTCTTCCCATACGGTAATGTACAATTATTTTCTTCTTAAAATCTGTAAAAAATCACTAAATTGTTTATTTAATTGAAAATTTTCCCGTGTAATGCTTATTTTTTAACTTTATTGTAAAATGTTATGTTGGCGCCATCATTGTTTTTGATTTATTAAAACGCGGTTAATTGTTCATAAAATGTTGTAGAAAAAATTGACAGGACGCTGAAAAAAAGGCTGGAAATTATGAACTGTTTAAAGGATGAATTCGTAAACATCTGAATGAAAAGCAAGGCAATCCTCGTTTTTTGACTTCACTCGTTGATAGCAAAATTTCGTGCCTAGTAGCACAATTCTATATTTAGATTGTAGACTATAGTTGTTTATAACTATTCTAGAAAATTAATCGCAAAATTCATAATGACAGTATTCTGATTAAAATCATTTAGCTAAAGGCTTCAAAGCAGACAGCTGTTACAATTTCTAAAGCAGAAGAGATCTTCCGAAAAAAAACGCATGTTTAGAGAAATCATTCGACGCGTATGCCAGCATCTTATACGAAATTTTTGATATTTTCGAATTTCTCGCCAAAACAAGTGTCTTTTTATTATCAAAAAATCGCTTCATCTATGATACTATCAACAAATAAATCGCAACTTTTCATTTTGGATATTGTTCCAGAAACTTTGCTATATTAAATATACCCATACTATTTTCGCGTAATGCACAACGAAGAAAGAGAACATTGAAAGGACTCGTTCATCGTCAAAAAAAGACGCATTTGCGTTTGAAAAAAAAGTCAATAATAAACATAAACAGGCGATTTAAAAGTCCGCTTATTTCCCTTTACATTTGCCTCTTTTTCATTGCTTTCGTGAACAGTTTCGGGTTTTAAAATTTTATCAACGTCGATAACACTTGGTTCATGATTCTTCTGTTTCATCGTCTTTCTGGAGGTGACTGTACGGAATACAACACGGCGAGCTGCTGTGTTGAGACGCTTGTTAACCGAAAGATCATTCCAAAATTGACAAGCAGAAAGCGGAGCACCCAATGCGTCGAAAATTTTATTTCTTTTAGTCAGCTTGCTGGAGAATGACTTCATATTTGTATTGCGCAAAGCTTCGGGACAAACTGGTCGCTTTTCTCGAACAAGATCGAGTTGATAATAATATTCAGATAGCATGCTTGCATATTTTTGCACTTCTATCTTCGAACCTAATAACTTCTGGGATAAAAAAAAAGAATCATCAGTGTTTGGAATGCACTATCCGTTCTATTCACACCCTGGCATGTCATTCATACTTACATCAAGTAATACAATATATGCCCAATCAGCCCACAAGACCATATAAGGCGTTACCAATTGTATTTCCATCGGCTTTTCGGCGATTTCTGCGACCAGGGTTATCCCTCTATATCCACTTGCCGCATATTTACCCCCTCGAGGGCAAACACCAAAGCACTTTACAATGGCTACCCCAAAACGGGAGCTATTAATGAAACTTTCTTTTGCTTCTACAACCTATAAAGATATTGATGTCCAGTAGGTCTACGAATGTACAACATACGTTAATAAGGGACGTGCATGCATGGAAAAAAAAAGTACAACCTGTAAAGACGTTGATGTCCAGTAGGTCTACGACTGTACAACATACGTTAATAAGGGACGTGTATGCATGGAAAAAAAAGGTACAACCTGTAAAGATGTTGATGTCCAGTAGGTTTACGACTGTACAACATAAGTTAATAAAGAACGTGTATGCATGGAAAAAAACGTGATGTCTTAATACTTCATGAAGTACATGATGTGTATAATCAATAAGAGTTGTCTCACAGCCAATAAAACTTTGTATCAGAGATGGCGAAGCAGGAGTGTGGGGTGGGAGCTGTAGCTCTCCAATACTTTTCACCATAACTCACAAGCATAGCCAATGAGTGTGCTACGAGGATAAAGGAGGTTGGAAACGAATTCACGGATCGTTTCACCACACCTCATATAGGATTGCTCTGCGATCCCGTGTATAGTTTTGTCGATTCATTGATAATGTAAATTTTCACGTTGAACAACTGATCCTTTTACTTTAAGTAGTATCAAAGCTCAAGGCTCTGATAAAACTAGAGTGGTTATGTTTATTAATTTCCTCTCCTAAATGATTTACTAAAGGGGAAATTTTCGAAAATTTTAAAATGATCCACTTTCTAAACGAATCCTCGATGTAGTAAAATATTTCAATCACCTCTTCCCAAAAAAATATCTTAATTTGCTTTCTTAGAGCCCTGAACAAAGCATCTTTGTAGAAATATGTTTAATTTACCTGTTGAACTGTTGGCAAAGTAATCCGCCATGTTATGACGTCATATAAATCTTTGACCGTCTTGTTGCCGTTCACGTCTAATTCATGGCTGATGCTATCGATGGGTCGTAAGCGGCTTTCAATTAAACTCTCCTCTCCAAACATAGCGATCAACTCGTTCTTTGCAGCCTTAAACGAACGCTCGAAGTTTTTCACGAAAAAAGCCAAAGCCTCTGAGACTTTATCATTATAGTGTTGATGCCAATTCCACGCATAATCAACCCCTCGGAAATGCCAAGACGGTGCAATAATGCTTCTTCTCAGAAGCTTTCGCATCGTTGGATAATCTTGTTTCATGCTTTTGGCATTTGCAACAGCATCTAGTAGAAAGAGTGCGTAGAATAGTATGTAAAAAACCATTTTCCCGTTTCTGTGGCCGTTTACATTGAAATGTGTTGTTGACAATAAACAACCTGTTCTTATTATGCAAGTGGCAAACATGTACGACGCATCGAGTTGTAACATAGTTGTAACATAGCCCGGGAGTATTGCTACCATAGATATGTATAATAAAGTGGATAGCGCATTGCAATACGACGACTAATCAAAAGTTGAAGCTAAAGTAATCGTGTGCTTACATTTTTGTTACCGATTACTAGGTCCCACTCGAGGAGTGAAACCCAACTTTAATATACATACGAGAGAGCTTTAAAAACGACGTATTTCTGTTATTTTTGGAACTTAAAGCCATGTATAAACATAGCAGATTTTGTGGAAATAGGATTTTGATTAACATTATGATCATTTTTTCGTATCAAGTGGGACCTTCCAATATGGCGGTTCTGACTTCACAGAAATAGCGGAGTGCGTTATCCAGTCTATTTTCAGATCAGTGATTGCTACCTGTTTGTAGATGAAGATCTTCCAGGTTTGTATTGTTCTGAGAAGGACTGACAATGTTGTTGACCGACGTTTGCACATTCTTAGCAGTAGTCATAGATGAACAAACGTCAGTCGATACTATAATTAACAATCCTTCTCACGACTCTACAAACTTAGACGATGTACATCTTTGTACAAACATATCTTATCTTGGTCTATCGGCAACAAATCACTAAAAAAACCTAAATACAAATGCAAGCATATATACCTAAGTTCCTGAAGTCGCAGATACAAGCGATTGACAGTGAAACGAAAGGAATAATTAAATGTATGTTCCACTCAATGATATTAGATATTGTAGCACCGGTTCAAACTACAATATAGTATTGTTAGTAAATTGTGTAAGATTAAATAAATTTATAAGAGAAATCCCATTTTTCGACTTTTCTTTTGTTCTAGCTATGTTATCAGTATAGCTACCGTTCATAGTAACGTATAGTTGAAAGCAATTAGTAAATCGAGCATTAACTAGGAAACAGATTTGACTGTTTGGAATGTAAAAATAACGAGCAGTTCGAGTAGATTAAACACTTGGATCAAGCAAAATAAAAGCCAAACATACCAATAATGAAAATGCAGATTTCGCGCTTCGGAAAAACAATCTTAGCAAACAAGCACTTGAAAAGGAAAACTTTAACTTTAATAATGGACGATATGAAACGTGACAAATATATTCGAGCCAGACAATAAAACTAGTATAATTGCACACTTATGGTATATTGAAATGTTTTAAGCGAACGAGTGAATTCAGTCGATGTATTCGGCTATATTGTTCACATCTTCCATTTGAATACGGATGCCTTCAATTTTATTCTTGCAATTCTTCATTTCATCTTCCAGACAGTTTTTGATACGATCTAATCGCAACGCATCGCGTTCAGCTGCGTCTTCCCGTACCAGGGTCTCTTTGAGATGATTTGTAAGAAAAAGTAACTTCTCTTCGTTGACTTTCTCGCGTTCCGTTTGGTCATATTCCCGTGCCTCGAGATCTTTTATTTCCTCGGATGTGCTGTTGATAACCTTCAAAAATTGCTTGATTCTTTCTGAGGAGTCTTCATAGCGACTTTCGGCTTTTTTTAGATCTTTTTGTAGCACTGCTTCTTTACACTTTGCCTCTCGCCATTGTTCGTCGTACGTTGCATAATCCAGCTCCCAGCGCTTTACTTCATTCGATAAGGACAACAACATTTCGTCGTCTTCTACCTCTTGACTTTCAAGATTTTTCACGGCTACTTCGTGTTCGGCGGTTTTCGTTTCAAGGCTACCCAATTGCTTTTCTTTATCCGCCAAGCGCTCTTTAGTTTTCGCAAGTTCTTCAGTGAGCATTTTAATCCTCCTTTCAAACGAAGTCTTTTCGTTTTCGGCCGCTTCCTGGCGCTGTTTGGCTTCGACAAGCAACGCTCTTGCATTAAGTTCATCTTGCTCGCACTGTTCAATATCTTCCTTTAGTTTGTTTATTCTAGCTTTAATCTTTTCCATGTTCTTGCAAACGAAGAAAATCTTCACGCGAGACAAGCCAAAGTGTCTTGTTTGGATAGGCAAGAAAAGTTTTAGTTTTGTGCACAACCGATGAATCTCTCAACAACTCAACGGCCAAGAAATCGTTTGCCGAGCGGAATATATTACGCGATTTAATTATTTGCAATATTATGCTGTCAAATTTTCCACTTTTGAATAATTTAGAGCGAAAATAATTGAAAAATATTTGCATAATGTCTGAGTAATTCTATGGAGAGGATTACGCTGCATTTTTTGAATTTTTTGAAAATATTGTCAGGTCAAAAATCATAAACAAATAAAATTCCATTCTAAAGCAAATTTTGACAATCTTAGTCTTAGGTCCGAAGACTTACTTATGTCAATTATATATATCATGTGAAAATTTTGAAAATTCACGATCCTCTAGAAGGCTGAAACAGTCAATAATTCATTGTTAATTATACTTACCTTTTTTGGTAGCCTTTTTGTTCTTTAAGTGTCATGAAAATTTGGTTTGAAGCATGGTTTTTGCATTCCACAGAATTATTTGGTCAAGTTTGTACATACATTGCAATTTCTAAAAAATTAATAAAAAATAAAATTTACATATTTCAAAACAAATAAATTTGGGGGAGAGGGAAATGACCTCATACGCCCTCCATTTTTAACGTTTCGGAAATGCTGTAATACAGATTTATAAAATTAATTATTTATTTTATTTTCTGAATTTGCATATTGTTCTATCAAAACAGATATTGAACACCCTTTCATCATGAGAAGTTTCAATTCAAATTTCTATAACGTATAACTATTATACATCTTATATATTGCTTGTAACAATGTAAGGCCCGTTTCAAACGTGGCATTTTACATGAGCCGAATGCTATTAAAACAAAAGATAATGAGACATTTTATCTCATTTTCTTTCGTCTTTAATGCACTCGCCTCATGTAAAATGCCACGTTTGAAACGGGCCTAAGGTGACGAAGAATTGGGGAAATAACCATGAAACAAGATATGACGTATTATGCGAGACGCGCATGCGTTGTGTTGAATAACAAACATGATACAAATAAACTTTGATTTGAAAAATGTTGTTTTTTAGAAGAATATTTACTTATCAAACGAGCATTGTGCTTCGTATGCAATCCACGCTATGGCCAACAATACTTATAAAACGTGGTGCAAGAGAAAATGGCGAAATTTGGCCAAGGAACGAGGAAACGGAGCGTTATCTTCGCGATCGTTTTCAAGTGCCAAAGAAATCAGCTCGACTTTTGTCAAAAGTTTGCAAAGTGTCGGACATAGATGAACGTGTACAGTACTTTTACACGATAGGACTAACAGAAGAGAGTATTCGATTAGTGTTTAAAAAATTCCCTAGGGCGATTATGACCTGCGAAGTAGAAGCAATGGATAAGAGAGTTAAATTTCTCTCAGAATACACTAGACATTTTAAGGATCCAAGTGTATTGATAACCCATCTGATACCACAATATCCAATACTGCTTTCGCATCCTGTTCACACGATGAGGAAACGAATTCATTTACTGGAAAAATGTGATCTAACAAAAGAGGAGATAGCAAAAGTCCTGAGGTAAGCCAATGACAGATCAGTCTCTTGCTGAGGTAAAACTACTAAGTAAAGCAATCTTCCTTTCTTTACAGATACAATCCTATTTCCATCCTAACAAAAATAGAGGATACATTTGAAGATCTTGTGAATTACTTGAAAGACAGTGGCCTTCCTGACCAAACAATTCATAAAATTTTTACCATTCAGCCAAGGTCTATAACATTCCGCTGGGAAGCTATCGAGAAACGAGTGAGGTTCTTCATGGATGAACTAGGATATTCAAAGGAACGAATAACACAAGTGTTCACAAACACTCCAATGGTACTCACAGCCAGTGTGGAAAGAATGAGGGAACGAAGTGACTTCATTAAGAATGAAATGGGGCTAACGAACCGGTCACTCGTTAGATCACCACTTGTTTTGAGATACTCGTTAGATAGACTAAAGTGGCGATACTATTATCTTTGTCATATAGGTTACAAGTTTACAGATGATACACACTTACTTAGTATTCTCTATGTGACGGATCGACTTTTTGCAAAATATGTAGCAAAACAACCTTTAGATGATGTATTATCCTTTAAGGAGGAATTTTTTGAAAGGTTAATCACAGCTAATCAAGATTTGCAAAAAGTTAGAAAAACCTAAGAATTTCGTTTAGTTCATTGTTCAATAAAAATAAGTCTAAGCTCATTTTTACATTACTAATTTATTTTTAAATATCTTTGCGTTTCAAAATACCTTAAACACAGATGGGTAAGATTTTGAAAATTCATAATCTACACGAAGAAGGTATTTTGATTATAAAATTGATCTACAATGATTTATTTTGCCTACTTGGCTGAAAATAAATTGTTAGCGCATATATTTACTCTAACATAAAACTTTTAACTAGGTCATAGATGAAAAATTTATTCACATTAACATTTCATCTTGCACATATAAACAATCCATCCATGAAACTCTTCTCATTTCCACACTTCATACCAATCTTAATGTCCATGCATGTTCCAATCTAGTTCTACTTTATCATATAATGCTCAAAATTTCAACATATTGTCATCATCACATTTTGCAATCTAACACTTAAATATATAATAGTAAATATGTTTTTTAAACTTTATATGTAATTTGCTTGATCTGATCTGATATCTTAAGTTATTAAAAAAAATTACTAGAAATGATATATTCCATTCATGGCCTTATTATGCAGTTTTTTGTAAAGCAATTACATTATGCTAAGAAAAGTTAGTTTAATTATAATGTCAATACCATTATGACTTTTAAATCTCAGCTTTTAATACCCCCCTGCACACAACAATCAGACCATAACTATAATTTCTCCAATATCAATACCATTATGACTTTTATATAACACCTTTCAACCCCCTTCTCCACAAAACAATCTGACCATAACTATAATTTGTGCAATGTCAATACAATTATGACTTTTAAATAACAGCTTTAACACCCCCCTGCACAAAAATCGGACCATAAATATAATATCTGCAGTCTGCATTGCTTGTACTGAAAGACATGAAATAATATATAGACCCTTCTCCATGAAAATCATTGCAATTTGCTGTCAGGTATTTGCCAGTTTAGAAATCAAATTCTCCTCTCGCTAAGCTAAAATTTATTAAAGGAAATGCTCCAACGGTAACCTTTTCATCATTCTCCGACTTCTTTCAAAAGCTTTTGCAGACGATGAACTTTCATCACAGAAATATTTTTCTCCATCTTTTATCTTTGGGTTTGTTGACCAAATCTCTTTCAAGCGTTTGACAATTTGAGTATTTTCCAGGGGGGTGAGTGGAGGAGATTATTTGCAAAGGGGGTGACAGTGCCCAAATTAAAAACAAATATAATAGAAAGTTTTCAACTCCCTAGAGAGATTTAATTGAGTAATTCGGAAAACCCCTGGAAAAAATAAACTCGAAAGAGCGTTAAGTTAGGGTGCGCATTCGTGGAAGAGGTTGTGACACCATAGCTTTCGTGAAATATGTATAAAAATTCGGCTGTAATATGACAGAGAACAAACAATATAAGACTCTACAAAAGTCAGTTGTTAAATGCAGAGCACCACCAATGCGCACCCCTATCTCCTTGACCAGTTATGTTCTGTAAGTCATGAATCTATGCGTGGTGATCACAAACCCCTTCATAAGATTTTACCAACAAATTTTTAATTATAAGAGTAACTTATTGAGACGTCATTACAACCTTGCTGTGATGTCATTACAACCTTGCTGTGATGTCATTACAACTAAACTGTGATATTATTACAATTATATTATGACGTCACTACAACCTTATCGTGACGTCATTACAACCATACTGGATATCATTAACATCTTAAGACATCATGACAACCTTATTGTGACGTCATAACAAATATTCTGTGATATTACAACCTACAAATAACTAATAACTTGTCATAACTTTGCAAAGTCTGAAATCACAGAAACACAGTTTATGGTTGATCACAGGATCAGTCACATTTTCATATCCATTGATTCTTGAGAGCATCCCCATCTCACTGTATTTTTTAATTTTATAATTGTAAATGGATGTGTTTGTTCAACAACTTGAATAATTTATAGCTTCTGGAAACAATGGATTTTCACAACATACTGATATGAAAATATTTCTTTATCTTTAGTATCTTTATTATTCTTTAGCTCATTTTCAATACTGGACAAAATCCGTTTTTTTTCTTCAGGAGTGGCAGCCGACACAACACTGTTGGATTCATAACGATTAATCAAGCTTTTCATGTCAAAATCCATAGAATACTTAAATGTTGTTTCATCAATAAGCTCATTGCCAAAACCTCCATGATTTCGTAAGGGAACAAACATGACAGCATCCGCCGGACGAGGAATTTTAGTTGCCTTAAATTTAGGATCAAGCCACTCCTCAAAAGTCCTGATCCAAGAAACTGAACGATCTGGTAAGTTCCAGATTATACCCAAAGTACCCTGAGGTTTAATTAATTGATGAATCTCATCAAGGGCTCTTCCCTCCATTCCAAACCAGTGAAAGCATTGTGCTGCTAAAACTGCATCTGCTGTACATTTATTTGGCAAACCTAGAAATTATTTGAACAAATGTAACTATAACTGCAGGTTTCAAACAATAACTAGTATGTTAATTACCACACAAAGATTAATTGCTATATATACAAATGCTATACATACAAATACAATTGCTATATGTACGTACAAAAAAATCTGATTTGTGTCAGTTGATTTTGCAGATTTCCTTTAGGAGGTGCCCAATGCAGTAATTTTTGTCAAACATTGTGACAAAAAACTCTTTCAAAAGTCAGTGAACAATTTTGAACAACAGGGAACATTATGAAATAAAAATAAGCAAATTTATGCCAAAGTCTGAACTTTGACTCCTTAGACACTCGATAAAACACACAATAAAACTAGTCAATCCAATCACCTAAACCTAGCAATCTTTACAATTTATTTAAGAAAAGCATTAAGACATGTAAATGAAGGAAAACTTGCTAAATGACCACTCTCCAGGGGCTCTTGACCCTGGAATGAATAAGAATATTCACAGACCGATACAAAAACAAACACTTGAAGGTTTTTCTCGCAATATGCAGCAGCAAAGCCAGTCAGATCTTTTACTCCTACCTTAAAAATTTTTCTGCAAAATTATTATTCATTTCTTTAGAAAATTAAATCAATTATTATAGGAGTAAAAAAGGGACTGGCTTTTCTTTTGCAAATATGGTTAATGCTTAAAACTTGATTTGGTTTGAAGATGCTGAAGCGGAGAACCAATAAAAAACTTAACAATGTGGTCAATCTCCTCTGCATGATGTGATGATGCAAAAATTGTTTGAATATTGCACAAGATATCTTATTAGCAAGTTTCATTTGTCCAGATGGGGTGCTCTATTACGTATATTAGATACCCAGGCAAAATAAACCTCTTGTCCCACCCACCCACCACTTGGCAGGCCTGCTATTTGCCAAAGTGAAATAGGTTTCAGACTTATTAACTTGCTTTAATATTAAGGATAGAGACTGCCAATGATTTATCATTTGTGCCTTTCCCAGAAAATATGGGAATTTTGACATGCTACTTCTCCAGTTGCACTGAGTTGCAGTTCAGAGTTAATGCATGAACTTCGTGAAATTGTTGTTTACTATCTATCATAATTGATTATGGCAGTCAAAGTGTGTCTAAAGTTTTATATCAGTTCATTTGCTTACTTTATACAAGTTTCTCAATTTTTCTGGTTGCTGTCAATTATTTTAATATTTTAATAATACATGATTACTAAATCTAGTAACGAATTGCAACTGGAAGAGCTTATTTTTGAACTGTTCAAGGTTTAGTTTTTTGCCCTGAACTGTACAAACATGACAGATTTGTGTGCTGTAAGGTAAAGGTGGGGGAGGGGCTAAATCACAGAACATTTCAACCCCGTTCTCCAACAAAAGAAAGTGTTAGCAGTCCTTGTACTTACTGATTGTTGCGTTGGTGATTTAAAACTAAAAAGTCAGGATGGCTAGCATGGTGGTTACAGCTTTAAAGAAAAAACAATATATTGTGACGCACACGTGCAGGGGGGAGGGGCCCACATACCTGATAAATCACTTGCAGAGCATTGTATTATTTCAACTTCAGGTACCATTTCTTTGAATTTATCACACATTGATTTTATTGGTTCCGTCGCAATGATTTTGAAATTTTGAACATAATGTTGTTTCAACACTTTGAGAACGGCTCTTGTAAATTTGCCAGTACCTGCACCAAGCTCAACAATGGTGAAAGGTTCAGTGCCAGAATGTTTCTTTAAAGCGCCTACTTTTTCCAAAAGATATTTCACCGAATCCAGATTGTAATCTGGACGAATCTTTTCGTACAAACTAGTGGTTTCGGGATCAGACCATGACTTAGCAGCATCGTTAACATTTTCCATTAGGATTTGAAAGAAATGATCGTTAAAATCCTATTAACTTCAGTCTTAATACCGCGCAAAGGTCCTGTCTCAGTGATGATGAAACTCCGGCCTTTTACACGTATTTCGGATTTTTTAAAATACGAACATTTTTCCGTTTTTAACAAAATGCGTCCACAACACGCGTATCGTTTCAAATTTGAAATCGCATTTACTGGTCCACACTATTGAACTATAGAACTCAATATATATTGTACTCAATATTATATAGAACTCAATATATCTTGTTATTATAGAGACTCAATGGTCCACACAATCACTGGCGCAAAGGTCCACACGAATACGTTAAATCGCCAAAATACCAGGGGCCTGTTGCACGAAGCCTGGATAGCAAAATACAAAGTGCAAAAATCAGCTTTCACGTGCATGTCGTTTGAATTTCATATGATCAATCCAGTAATTTTAATCTCATGGCATTTGAGGTGAAGAGAAGATAAAAGAATAAAAGGAACAAAAATTAGTGAAGTGTCTCGTGTGCCTAATTAAAGAAAAAACAAGTAAGGTGAGATGACTCTTGAAGTGCTGTATAGTAAAACACTGACGAACCTTTAGATATTTTAATACATGGCAGACTGTGCGTGTGTTGAAATATCGCCGCAGTTATTTGCCGCTTAAAGCAGAATGTAAAGCGAAGATATCAAGTAGATTTTAGTCAAATTTGAATTGATGGTACCAATAACTTTTTATTTTTTGTTTTGATACATTTTTGTGCCAAAAATGAGCACCCACCAGAATTCAGATGAATGTCGTTTGAGTTTTATACGATCAATTTTTTCTCATAATTGCACCTATACTTTTAAAGGCCAATGATGTGAACCTTTGTAGAGGGATCAAATATGCTCCAATTGTGAAATTCCTTGATGCAATTGTGATTTTTGTGATTTTGTGGTGTAATTTGCACAATTTTGTAAGCTATTTGCTACGGGAAAAACGTAATTTTTTTAATAATTACTTACACAAGGCTCCTGCTATTAATATATTTAAACTCGATTTACAAATTTCTTCCATTGTGAGAAAATTTTACTAGGGTTAATAAGGACAACGTTGTAAGTAACTAATCGCAGGAAATCAGCATTAGTGAAACAATATTAGTATCTTATATAGTAATACTTCAAACAGAATCTTGAGGTCGTCTACAATATGTGGTATTCTTATGCTAAATTCATTCTTTTTATGACATGTCAACAAAGTGTTAAACCAAGTTCTCAATGTCTATAGCCCTTCTATTATGTAAGATAAACATAAGAATTTGTCGCTTTTCTTACTTCATAAGCAATTGGGGAAAATATTTATTTAGGAAAATATTTTCCTTAGCACAACAAGCACGTTAACACGCAAGTAAATACTTAAATGAAAATGTCAAAATGAGTTTAGTAACCACTGTAGTCTCTAGAGGCGTTATTTTTTATTGTTTAGCTTAGAAAACAAAAAATGTAGGTAGTGAACTATGCAATTCCTTCCTCCTAATGTCTACCCTAATTTCGTCTTTTTGCAAGTGCATTATCATTGCTCATTGGGTGGGAGGGGAGGGTAAGAACCGTGTTCCCATGGTCCATTATTTAGATTTTGGGCTTTAGGTACAAAAATAAAGAGAAGAGAAGATTTAGATGATTTTGTGGTAATTCTATTTAAAACAATAAAAAGAAGAAGTTCGGTGAAGTGATTCTTGAACTACTGCATGAGAGTGGAACACTGAGAGCCCAAGTAATTAATCAATTTTCCTATAACATGCTGCAGGTAAATAAATCGTTAGACTTGGTGCGATATCTCTCCGTTACATCACGCTTGGTTATTAAGAGCTCAATCTTCAAATTATTGATTCCTCGAGATAAAAATTTGAGGGTGGAAATTTTAGAGCAGAAAGATTTAGGCAACCCTTTGCGGCTGAATGTATTATTATGAGTGAAGAAACTTATAAAATATTACATTTTGTTTTAGTTATGAATTTCCTCTACACTTTGTTCATTGTGCTGATTTTTCAAAACTCAGTCGAAATGGAGTATCTTCTAGAAAAGAAAGGATGGGCGATAAATTCATCATCGCAACAAGCAAAAAAAAGGTGAGTAATCTAAATATCTCTCCGAACATGAACATGTTAAACTCTTTGTAAGACAATACAAGTATGGTAAAAACACTTTCATGGCGATTAATTTGTACGCCAAAACAATTTTTGCTGTATATCTCAGTGCAAAAATTATTCTTCTTGTTTCTAATTTCATCTTAAGTGTGTACAATTTAATCTCTTTCAAATTGTCTGCTTGAAAAGGTTTTTGCAAATTATTTCTTTTTGATTTTCTGTACAACGTGCGGACGCACAAATGAGCGCTCATAACAACAAGTTATTGCGTAGCAATCTATCGTATAGTAAGCTTAGTAACTTGAATAATTAATTAGTATAGGTAATAGCATTTGCACGAGAAGCTATATGCTTATTCAATTTCTCAATTGAATTCTGTTGATTTTTAACTCTTTTAGCAACGTACGTACATTTTAGCCGGCAAGTTATTAATATCGACTGGATTGTATTTTCAATTCCATCAAATCTTACAGTTCATAACACCGTAGCTTGCAACACACCGCTAGTACAAGGTATCTACTGTTAGCAGTGTTCATATTTTCATGTAGAAACACTTTGTAATCAGTGAACTGTAAACTCGTCAGCCATAGAAAATCTACTTAAAACTCACGCCTGCCGTTGTAATTGCTTTGTTTACAATACTTTAACTTTCCCGCCTTCAAAATGTTTTAATATGATTGGCTCTTAGATCACTTCTTTGTCTGACTAACCTATCCGGAGCACAGTCTTCAAAACTAAATTGCACTGTATTTCCTCTTTTTTTGTACTTTGTTTCACATTTTTACACTGCTGTTTACGATATATTGCACTGGTCTTAACCAATCAGAATTGGGAGCTTTTTTCATGCATATTATTAGAACTGTAATTGACACAAATTTTTGCTTTGTCTAAGGAAAGTTTCGTTCAGAATCAATCGAGCGAATGAAATAGGAATACGCACATGCGCAGTGGCTACCCACAATAAAACAAAATGTCGTTTATACGTGCTCAGTTAACTACGTCACAGCTCATTAACATACTGATTAAGTGTTCGCAAAAAATTCCTGAAGGTTGCAATTTTCAACATTCATAAAATCATTTCAGCAAATTAAATTTGTATATATAAACAAACAAAAGAAATCAGCTGGGCAGAGCTGAATATATGAATATATATACCCCAATTAGCGTTCTAGTTTCGCGCCTGGATGCTTACTTCTAAAGTCTAGGGATGGGACACAGATCACACGTTAAAATTGACGAATCATGTTAGATATTAACTGCCACAAAAATGTCATTATTAAATCATCAACTTCGATGTGCTTACAACGATTGGAGAATATAAATGATTCTGAGCATAATCTGATCCCGAAATCTCTAATTTGTACCAAAAGACTCGTCGAGATTACAATCTGAATTCGGTGCAGGTACTGGCAAATTTACAAGAGCCGTTCTAAAAGCGTTGAAACAACATAGTGTGGAAAATTTCAAAACCATTGCGCTGAAACTACTAAAATCATTGTGTAATATATTAAAAGAAATGGTACCTGAAGATGAAATAATGCAATGCTTTGCAAGTGATTTATCAGGTATGTGTGCCCTCCCCTGCACAAGTACACGTGACATTAGAGGAGGTCTCACTAATTTACAACAAAAATTGTGAAACTAATACCCAACATGCCTATATTGAAAAATTTTGTATATCTCTTCATAGGTATGGTTGATATATTTAAACCTATATGATCAGGGGCCTGTTGTATAAAGCTCTTAACTACTTTTTAACTACACTTTTGCAGTTAAAAGTAGTAAAATTAACCACGCGTTTAAGTCGTTTGTTTTAAAAGTAGTTAGCTCTAACTGCAGTTAAAAGGTAGTTAAAGTTAACTATGCTATGGAGCTACGGTCTACATTTACAAACATGTAAAGTTAACTATGCTACGGTCTACATTTACAAACATGTAACGATACTCCCGGGTTCAAACCATTTACTTTATACATGGATGCGTTATCCAGTGTAATATACATATCAGTGGCGCGCACATTTAACATGTACATACGTCGGCAACCTATGTTTAACATATCTATGGTTTGTAGCACGTGTTCAGTGAGTCGTATTATCAAGAGTAATAAAATATTGAGCGCTCTTTTGAAGATTTTGACAAATTGCAATTATAATACGGTTAGTATTTGATTTGTCATGTACTGCTGAGCAATATATTTTATGCCTTTGATTGAGGTTTTAAATTATTGGATCTAACTTGCCAAGCTTGCATAATAGCATTGTGAGGTTGTATCGATGTCTCGTTTACTTTGTGAAAACGTTTTGAAACAACTTCTTGAAACGGATATTTGCTGACGACGTTGTGAACAACGTTGTGGAAGGAAGTTGTAAATGAAAATGTGGACTCAGTTTTCATTCGACCGCGTTTAGACAGTGTAGTATTATCGCTGCGGATAAAGCCACGTTTGCCCAGAAATTCGCTTCGATCGGCCTCGTGCAGTGTAAACACAGCCCCTGTTCGGTTACCTTTTCGCATCGTTTTCACTCTTATCTGGAGTAACCTAAATTTAGTGTTAGTACAGTTCTTTCACATTTGGCCAATAATCATCAAAACTTAGTTCTGTTGGGAATTTCTGGTAACAGTTTGTGTATTCATCTCAAATATCGCAAATACTTCGCCATGATAATTTGGTTATTGTAAGACAATACTGACATTTGGAAGTATATGATCGCGTATTCCTTCTTTTGATTGATAATCGTATCATAATCATTTAACGATGTCATTTTTTAATATTGTTGCCAATGTAGTGCCAGGCGGGAAACGGATTCTCAAAATGAATATTGAACAGGTGCCACGTCTGGGTGGAATTATTGTAACTAGTATGTTTGAATAGCTCTTGTGTTGGTTGAGAAGAACAGATACAAGTGAAGAAATGCATTGTATCTGTGTTTACATAAGGTCTGCTGTTTACATAAGATCTGCTGTTCACATAAGATCTGCTGTTGTTTGTCGGTGCAGAAGTGACTATATTTTGTGGTAAATATCAAATCTGTTGAGTCTAGGAGTGAATCTAGGATATGTCAAATCAGTCACTTAACTGATGTTTATAGTTCAAAACTTTATCAAATTTAATGATTACAACTTTTGTAATCATTTTATTTTCCGATTCATTATCGTTCAAATTTCATTGACACAACTCTGTTTTATACCTGAAAACTTATATACAAATTTCGGTAGTAAGTAGTTCAATGGATTTTAAATTATCTGGAATTATATAACCTGACTGATTGATAAGCGGGCTTGCTCGACTGGTTTGAGGGATAAGGGAGTTTAAAAACGCTCATTTAAGCCATTCCATTGATTAAAAGCCAGATCAGTGGACAATCTGGAATTACCTTGACCGATAAGCCGAGTGCCCGGACCGATAGCTATCGAAATTTACATCTAAAATCATAAGTAAAGCATAGCTGAAGTGTAATCGCTGCTGTTAACATAAAAGTGAATTTATGCAAGTATGTGATGCGCGATTTGTGTCAATGTGGCAAGGTAAGCAGAACGATGATTCTAAAATTGTTGTTGACGAAGGACTTTTAGCAATGATTTAATTCTTTAGTGTTTGGGGAATCTTTGCCGTAATATGGCAGCAAAATCTTACATTGCTTTAAAAATATTTCAATGAACAAAAAAGTCTGTGGGCATAAGGTGCCATGCTACTATTGACCTTATTATAAACAAATGTTTGGGGCTTTTCGAATTATGATCGTTGATCATGCAATCATTAGAGAGTTATACAATACATTTCTTTAGATTTGAGAAAACTAATGTTGATTATATAAGAAAATGTTTACATAGTATAACCAGAGATTATGAGTCTTTATGATCTATGAAGCTTTTTATTTTGACTATATAGTTTTCTATGTATTACTTATCCGAAAGTGTTTACTACGACTAACAAAATATTTTTTGAAATATTTCACTTTTATGACCAATAAAAAGCCCTGAAAACAACTAAATCGAATTGTTTGATGAAAAAAAATTGTAGTATGAATATCAAATCTTCACAATGAAATCATTACATTAATAGCTTCATACTACAATGAAATTAGGTTTTTTAAGTTCACTATCAGCAGTGAAAATATAAGAGACAAATATCATAAGAAAAATACAGTTCATCTGCAGTGTGCACGAATACATTAGTTACAATGTGAAGAAAGAAATCATGATAAAAGCGATGTAATACTTAATGCTTTTGTGAATCTTGCCCGTCGCCCAGGCAATATTCCTTTTGACTATGTCGAATAGATGCAACAACTCAAGCCTTTGAATAACGAAATTTTATTCTCATGCAATGTTTATCTCATACATATATTGCTCACTCACTCAGACTCCCTCTTCAACCCCTTTACAACAAAACATCAATCAAAATTTTTCTAAGCCTATTGGTTAACGAAATTATAACAACTAAGGAGAATTTGTCTTTCTGTCAGTAGGACATTCAAATAACATAACTTATTCCCAACAAAGGCATAGATTACTTATATGAAAAAATAATGGATTGGCAACAATTATTTCTGCTGCTGATCTTGTGGAAAGAAATAAAATCTTTTCGCAGTTGAGACACTATAGATGGAATCTGCTTCTTCTTGTCTGACTCTATGTCTTCCGTCTTCGAAGCTAATTTTGCAACGTCAGCATTTACTCTAGTCATCATGCGCAGCAGGTCCATAGAAGTAGCGTGCTCACTGAAAACTTCTATAATAGATTGTATGAACCATGATCCACGGTCAGAACTTCTCCAAGATAAGTAACCTGGGACAGTTGAATATGCGTACATAAAATCAGCTTCAATTGGAATGCTAAATTCTTGTGAGTGGAATGCTAAATTTTTGCCACTTTCCGTTTGACTTCGACTTTTTCCGTCTATTCCATCACAGCTTTCCATGTACTTCTCACCTTAATATTTATATATATCGTTTAGTCATCAAACAACTGTTTTATAACTAGCTATATGCAAATTCTAAGTGAGTTATAGATATATTTTTGCTAATAGCACGAAATTTTTGTCTGTAGGCTTCGGGGACCAACTCAGAACCCTTCAGGATCGCATCTTTTACTAAGTCATAATCCGCAGAATCAATTACAGACATTTGGGAAAAAATTTCTCTAGCTTTTCCTATCAAAACGCTTTGTAAAAGCATGGTCCAACTTTCTTTGGGCCATTTACAATTTTCGGCGACTTTTCAAAATGCAAAAGTACTTGTCTACTTCCAATTCCGGGAACGGTGGAACCATTCTCACATGCTTGGTTATGTCAAAATTTGTTCTAGAATGTTCAGCATGTGTATTTGTGGCTTGAAGTTTTAATTTTTCTAGTTCTATCTCCTGTTCTCTTAACTTAAACGCTCTCTCTTCGCGTGCACATTCACGCTCCCATTCAAGTCTTTCGCGTTCTCTTCTCCACCTTATTTCTTCTTCCTCTCTTTGCCATTGTCTTTCGTCTGACTCTTCCTGACTAACATCTGTTTGAGCAATGCTATCTACTTCACCTCTAGTATTTTGCATGAAAATACTTAGGTTTTCTAAAACTGTTTCATCAACGAGTTTATCGTTGCATAATCTTTAAAATTACATGCTGTATTTCGATTTTAGACATTGAACTTTTAATTCGACCTTAAGATATTTCCCTAAGACTTTTAAATCATCTTTTCTTAATTTCAAAATGTTCTCATATGTTGGTTCCACCATAAACTTTTCTGGTTTAAATGCAGACATGTTGAAACAACTGGTCCACAAGTTTACTTTAATAAATGATTTTTCTCTTTTTGTTGTTTATAAAATATTGACGTGAAATTTTGTTGTTGAAATGATCGTGATTTGTTTTCGATTCTATTTTCTTTTCGTTTTGACTTCTGCTTAATTGAATAACTTGAAATAGTTCTTTCCCGGGTGGGCCCCCAGTTTTGTTACGAACGTCCCGACTAATAATAAAATGGCCGCTTTTGGTTCAATTGCTCGTAACAAAAGGAGTAAAAGCTTGTGGAGAAGTTGTTGTCAATTCTTAAGATATTTATTTAATATACTAATAATTTTGATATAAACGTTATAATATAATTGTGTAAATGTTCAAACTTATCTAAGACAACTGCTTTCAGACTTTCAGTGACTCTTTCGTTGATGGATTGGATATATATCTGGATTCTTTGGTTATCTTCGTAAATAGTTCGTTTTCTTTTACATGAGCTTTCTTCTGATGTGGACTTCTACTATGCACCAACATAACTACAACTTTCGATTCTCGGCTTATATGTGATTGCACAATGACGTACGATTAACCGCTTGTGCTTAAACTGTGGTCAGTTGATTACCCATGTCCCGTACGTTGCCTGTGGTCAATAGGGTGACCACGTCCTATACGTAAGCTTTTCCTGTTATTGTGGTTAACATACACATGCATGTATGAGTAAGGCATTTTACAAAGAGCAGTAACTAGTTAACTAATAATATATTTAAGTATATAACAATAATAACCATAATTTACATGATTATGGATTATCATGTAACACTATAATTAACATTCCTTGGACGGCCATGCCGGTGTTTGTCTTCAATGCTGCTAATACTATCTCAGGTCTCTCGATCATCCAGAATGTGGAGTCTGCCATTTTCAAGCAACAAAAAGCAAGATTTTGATGTTTAACTACAGACAAATACTGAAAAGTCATTGCGGGTAACGGTTAATTCTGCTTTCTAAATGTGTTTTTTTTTTCTAGTTTTTGACGCTGTGAACCTGTCTCAATATATGAACCTGTCACCGTGCATTCAGTCTTGCCCTATTTTCTACTCTCAGAATGTAATTTCTTGTACTGTTAAGTTAAAGGCAAAATATATTGATTGCCTAAACTATTTGTGTTTGACGTCGTACTTTCTAAGATTGTGTGGCCTATCCGCTCTAGCTATACTAAAGTGAATCCTAATGTTCAGCACTGTATGTGTAAGCATGTTGTCTTTAAAAAATTTATTCATTTTCGACATTATGATAAAATTATTGGACTAAGAAAAATCGAGGGAAAGATTGGGAAATATTACTAGGGATTAGTCTTATATTTGTCATAACTTACAAAATGAAACCGACAAGTCAAAATAGCTTTATATTAAACGTGAACACGTTATACACACAAATGAAGATAAAGAATGCAGAAACTTTATGGACCATCATTGAGCTTCAAACTGCGTTGACGACAACGAAGACTTCGGCACTTAAATACGCATAAAAATTTACCAAGCTCAGTAAAACAGCAACGCATAAAACAGATAGTCCTAAGATCTCTTAACAACGCAAGATAGAACGCAATGACCACATTAACGCCCCCAACAAATTTCATTTCAACTACGGAAGAATGTGCCTCACTTGCTTGACAACATTGCACTTCACTCATTAAACGATTCAACTGTTTTGATTCCAAACAGCTTGATATCATGAAATAAACATCTTAACAAACATTATATGAAGAAAAATAATCGAAAAAAGTCATAATTATTTACCCTGACATGCTTGAAAAAAGAACAATTTCGGCTTCCCTTTGAGTTTTTCCACCTGAAATTTTTCTGTTAACTCTTTTATTTTTACTGTACCATCGACACCATAAAGTTTTCCTTCTTTTCCATGGGTTAAAATTGCACAAATGATACAATCATAATTGTCTTTAAACGTTTTTGCGTAATGATCGCATAGATTTTTCATTTGCTCAACGGTTACATTGTCGTAAATTTGCGATTCAAATTCCAAAGCATTAAACAGCTTGTGAAGACCTTCTGCATCAAAATTTGTTCCATTACGTTCAGACAACTTCAAAGGCTGGTCAAATTTTTCGTTGTTTATAATAAAATGCACAACCACGAGGAAGACTGTTCATTTTGTACGTAGACTTATAATTTTGAAAATCAAGCGTCTCTTTCAACTGATGACTATTTTTTCTGTATCTTCCTGTCGGTACTATAAATATATTTAAAAAAACTTGAAGCATTGAATTTTCTCGTGTTCACAGAAAAATATTTTTTCACAACAAAGTACATGTCTATAACATAAGGAATAATGTTGTCAAGTGTTCACTGTAACAGTGGAACCCCGTTATAACGGTGGCCAACGGGACGAAAAAATCATCCTCTTGCCTTACCAGAAATGAGTCTAGCTTAATTGATATTGATATAATTTTTATTCTTGAAGTGATTTAGCCTTCTGTTTGATGCTTTAAAGTCAGATAAGGTTACATCCAAAGATTTGGAAATTTGCAAGATATTTTCTTGTTGTATCAGAACGAATAAAGGGTTATTTTTCATTGTTGCTTTGCAAAATCATGCTAGCTACGCATTGTCAGTTTCAGCATGCTTCCCTTCTCTCCAACGTTATTCTCACTGTCTGCATTTTCTTCATAAGCTAGCACGATTACATCTCTCTTTCGTAAAATATGCTGCATTTGAGTTCTTCAACTAAATTGTTTGGCTGACTTTTTTGTGCTTTTTTAGGATTGGTACCTCTAAATTTAATCACTTCATGTCGCCTTTTTAAGTCAAGATCTTTCCGTCTATGTTTTCCCTTTGACGATCATGCACATAACAAGCGTATATTTAGCTAAGACTAGACTCATGGGAGAATCCTAATAAAAGATATAGTATGTGGCCCACAAAGTTGCTAAATATTGAAATCATATACCTTGGTCACATTTTGTCACATCATCCGATTATTAACTGATATTATTCCGACAAAGCCCATGCAAAGTTATCCGTCCAAAAACGTGTTTTATACGTCCGACTTAAATATTGACGAAATTAAAATATCTACTTGAAATCGATGATATCATGCGTACAAAAACTGCTGAAATTAGAAAATGGACAAGTTCTAGATTTGAAATACGAGCCACGAAATGAGAAAGACGAGATGCCTATATTGTCGTGTTAAAACACGGGGAAGAATTCGGCCAAAGGGTTTAGGAAGCAAAAAGCATAGAAGGTGTAATCAACAGTGGCGGCACCACGAGGTGGATTGGGGTGGACTTTGAAATTTGCAAATTTTAGAGACCTGGGGCCGGTTGCACGAAGCCTGTATAGCGCTATCCATTTATGTATTCTTGATTTCTAAAATTTTGGGGTGAGAATGCTCCCAAAACCCCTAAAAGTTTTTCTTTCCTTCGTCCACCCCAGTTTTTACACCCTGGCGCTGCCACTGGTAATCAAGCACTTTTTAACGAAAGCTGGCAGCGATGCTTAAGTTAGGGTTGTCAGAAAATATCTATAGAACTACTAAAAGTACGTTTAATAAATTACTGTAGCTCATTTTTGCATGAAGTTATACTTCTAAGTACCGTATAGAGGCAAATCCATTGGTAAAATCATATTCTTTAGAAAATTCAAAACCAATCGTGTTTTTCTGAAAGTACTTTGAATTTAAATTAAGCAGATATATTATGTATTTGACTCACGCTGGATCCGCTACTGTATATTTGAGTAACAAGTTTTGGTCTTACCCTTTCAACCGTTGAACTTGCCATAGTGTTAGATAACTATTAGCCCACCCAAACAGATATGTTTATGAAAAAAATTACTAGCAAGCATCTAAAAATACTTTTTACAACCAAAAACGACACAAATTTTTATACGTCCACAAACGATGCATATAGAACATGCACGGATTACAAGCTGATACAACGTTTGTCTGTTTATTCAACTAAGAAAATGGCCACAGTATAGAAACAAACAGTAGTCCCACCCATAGTGCAACTTGGTGCTGTATATTTAATTAGATTACTGGCTGCAGCTAGCCATCTGAGTGCTCATATTGGCCAAAAAAAGCAATTGACTGGCTGCCACTATGCTTATCACATGCGTAATAAGATATGTGCTACACAAAAAAATTTCAATAGAGTGGGACTACTGTTTGTTTTTATACTGTTAAATGTTTGTGAAGATCATTTGAGCACAAGTTGCATTGTGGTTTACAATGATTCTTTAAAATGGAAAAATCCAAAATAGCCCAATATGCATTAGCCAAATTTCGTCCATTTATTTGTGCAACTACAGCAATTTGTGCTGTTGCATTCCATTGTGCGGCACATAAATTCAAGTGGCCATGTTAATTAGTTATGACGTCATAAGTGAAACACGTTTTGTTTACGAACTATAGATTTAAATGGCCAACGACACATTCCTCTTGGTTTACTTTATTTTTTGCTTTGCAAATAATTCCTACACGATCATTTTTTACAGTATGTTAGAATAAGTATTTTAGAAACGGATGGTTGGAAATATAATCTTTTATAGATGATATTTTGTCCGAAACCTTCTCTGTTGTGTAAGTCTAAATTGGAAATATGGCACGATGATTCTTTATCCATGCGATTTTATTTTGGTCTTTCTTCTTATTAATCTCACGATTCTTAAGTGAATCGCTTAAAGGAAAATATGCGGGAAAATCGCATTGAACTCGATTTTGCTTGAGTTTTGGGCTTTGCCGGTATACTTTTAATAGAGCTTTACAGAAATAACACATAAGTAATCCAGTGTCATTAGAGGGCAGCATCAAGAAATATACTAAACTACATACATGGGAATTTCACTAATACAATATGAGCAGGTGTAAAGAATACAGAGCCATTGTTTAAAGATAATGGGGACTGTTGTCACAAACTTTGTACCTCTCAATTCCTTAATAAATAAGTCAGGCTCCTGAAGTTAATTACTACTTGGCTAGAATAAATGTCAGATGTAAAAGTTATCTAATAGCTGTAGCCCAGAAAAGGCTCATTCCACTGTTTATGTTTTGATAACAATACATTTGCAAAATATAAATTACCAAAAGTACTGTTTAAAATTTTCAATTTCAATTATTTATCTGTAAAAATCCTTCGATCTGTACTAAATCACCGCAAAACAAAATAGAGTAAATAAATAGAGTCATAAAAAAAATGGAAAAATGAAAACAGTCATAAAAATATTTAAATGGTTAGGGTCATTTTAAGTCATGTTTATTAGACATTCTAATTTTATTATCACAACAGAAACAGCTCTACTACATAATTTGTACAGAACCAAACCTAAATAATATATAACACTAGTACTGATTTAATTTGTGTGCTACTCGATTACTTTAAATATTAATGATCACAATGTCTATTTTGACATCAAACAAAGTTACTGACAACCTCATTACGCTGAACATTCCTCAAAACTTTTTCATGGATCAATGTATTAAGAAAACTTTCAGGCTTGTTTTATCATGCTTACATTATTTCATAGTTTATACTGATATCCTCATGGTACAATATTTCAAATGATGCTTGGATTATTTTAAACCAACTCATATTTTGTCAAAGGACTTTATTTTTTGACTTCTCTTCCACAAAAATTGTAATTCTGTTCTAAGAATACTTGTGAATTCAAGTCTAACCCGTCGTAGTTCAGCTAAGCCAATTTCCCCTTTTCGTTAAGACGATTCCAGCCAAATTGACTGTGGGAATCAAATATTTCTTCTTTTCGTTTCGAGCTTCTTGGCCAAAGAAACATTTACAAAGATCAAAACACGACTCATCAAAACACGCTGGGCAAAGACATCTACGAAGTTATGAAACGTTGTCGAACAAAATTAACCTTTTCTTGTCCTTTGTGAGTCTATTCTTCTTTAGAAAACGTATGCTAGAATCTTAATTTTCATTTCTCACTGAATTGGCGAAATTCGACAAGTTTATCCACCAGGAGAAAGTTCTTATTATTCGCGATAGAGATTTTACTATAAATTCTATACGCCATTATTGAAGTATGTTTCATTTATGACGTCACAAGTTAATAAAATGGTCATTTGAAAGTTTGCACCATTGAAATGAATATAACTGGTACGCTAACTTCAGATTGCTTTGATGAAGCCAAAATTTGCGGGACTTTACCTCCAGACACGTGTGTTTATTTGGCTTCATTCGTGATTCACTCACGGGAGTGTTGTGAAGAAAACAAAGCCATTTGACTATTTCATTTGTTTTGGTTGCAGTTTACAAAACGAATTTACAAGAAAGTTCTTGTTTTATGGTTTTGAGTTAAAAGTTTGTGATTGGGACTGTAATGGAACGTGTTTTCAAACAAACGCAATTTGATTTTGAGCGAAAGAAGTTGTCCATTGACTGGAAACAAACGCTATTAACAGAAAAAACATTGGGGGTGTAAACAGTGAATACTTTCTTATAGAAGACTTTATCATATCAAGGGGTTTGTAAATTTAAAAGCTAAAACTTCATAGCAAAACTTGTGTAACTTTTTCATGATTTCGTATTTGTTGTATTCATATCTTTAAATATAAACAACGAAACGTTTTGTCGAAACGTTTAGATTATTAAAATGTTTACTTTTTACGGAATGTCAATTGTGTTGTTCTGTACGTTTTTTTGTTAAAGAAATAGACCTTTCTTTCTGCATTTCCAAACGGTGAATCATTATCCAATCAAAATATTTAACCTTGGTTAAGAATCTTCGAAAATGATTTATTATTCTGTAAAGTGAAGTTTTTGTTGAAAGTTTTAATGATGTGTTTTATTATTTTAAAACTTATTTGGCCGTGTGTTTCTTTGCGTGAAAAGATTGGGGAGAGACGGCGTCAACATAACAGGGACAGGTAGCGTTCCAGCTATACTTATTTCAGTGCTTCGCACAGGAAGTGTCAAAAATGGCAAATTTGGACGATCGTAACTTTGGATAGAAAAGTCCAATTTTATTTCTGATTTAAAGTATAGAGTGAGGATTGCTACTTTTTTTTATTTGGAAAAAAATAGGAAAAAAATTCAAAATTCGTTGCATAAGTTTAGCTTTTCAATGTAATTTAAATTCAAGAGTAGGTTCAGTGTCTGATGTTAAGCGATTATGAAGGTAATTGTAA